CTTGCATATATTTGTTGTCGGCCAATGTCCAGTCTTGCATGATTTCTCACTTAGAATCCTCAAATCATTAGAAAGGTAAAGAGTTGTCAAAGTGCTCAAGCAATTTCTAACATGTTATATGATGATGACTCTCTTTTCTTTGTTGAGAGTACACCTCAGAATTTTTGTGCTATCAAGCCGATTCTTAGTATGTAATCATTATGGTCTAGACAAGATTGCAACAAGTCAAAATACTTTCTTGTATTCAGTCCTAACGTATCTCATACCACAAAATTATACCTCTCCAATTTCTTGGGTTTGCGCTTCAATTCTAAATTGGGGAAATACCTAGGTACTTGGATTGATCTAAGCAGAAGTAAATAAGTCATTTTCGATCAAGTAATCAACTCCATCAAAAAGTGAACTATAGCAGGATAAAACTTTTATCTCAAGCTTCTCGGCTTACTTTGATCAAGTCTGTCCTTGCTGCGACTAACATCTATGTTCTTTCACGTGTCAATGTGCCACAATACATTTGTAGTCGCATTGGCTCTTTCTATGTAAACTTCTTCGGGGAATCCACAAGTAACAAGAAGAAAATTCATCTGATCAAGAAAGAATTGCTTTTCCAGCCCATTTACAGAGGAGGATTGGGATTAAGGCCTGCAGAGATTGTTAATCAGACATTCTTGGCTAAGCAAATTTGGAGAATCATCTCATCCAAAGCATCTTCAATTTTGGCAAACACTCTTAAGGTTAACTATATTGATCTCAACTCCCCATCCATCATTAGGAAACCTTATAATTCTTCTTGGATGTGGAAAGACATAGCTAAAATGCAAACATTAACACTCAAAAGATAAAATGGAAAGCGGGCAAAGGTGCTTCCATTCTTAGTAACCACTATCTTCGATGGCCCATGCAACTTGATCATGCCTCCTTGATGAACATTCATTTGGTTGCTAATCTCTTATTACATGTCCCTTCTTCTTGGAACTCTGCTACGTGGAACTTGCCTCTGGTATGCACCTTATAGCACCGAGATATTGTTGAAGCTATTATGAAGACGCCTCTGTCTTTGTTAAACTCATCTGATAGCCTGTACTGGAGTGGTAATGCCTCTGGCTCTTGCTAGTCAAGGATGGAGTAGCCTTTCTGTTCCGAACAATGACTAATCATGATGCAAATGAGGAAGTCTCTTGGAAAATGCTCTTGAACATCCCCTCTCGTCTAAGTTTCTTCTTTTCTTTTGGAAGTTCTTGAACAATGCACTTCCTTCGTGCAATATCCTGAAACAACATCACATTAATACTTCTGGATGTTGCCTATTTGGCTGTGAGGTCGAGAAAACCCTAGAACACTTTTTCTTCTCTTGCACCCTCTCCAAATCATTGTGGTTTGGTTGCTTTCTTGTTAAAGTTTCTCATATGAACTTCTAGGTCCTTATATCATGGATAAAAGAAAATTTACTCCAACTTCATCATCATGGTTTGGATCACCTGGTTTGCGGAATTGTTTGTCTTCTCAATGTTAACTGGAGGAAGAGAAATCTAGCTCTGCATCATGGTAGACATGACTCCTCACTCTATAATCAAATAAACACATTCCTTTCTTTATTAGTTTTGGCATTTATGAATCTTCATCAAAAAAAGCTATGTCTCATCTTCTACAAAGGTTCCCATTTTATTAAATGATGTTTGATGAGACATTTTTTTCCCACAAATTTAAAAGATCAGGACATGACTCGTGTCAAAGATATATTTGCTACCAAGAAACTCCTTGAATTGAATTTTTATGGAAAAATCACTCTACAGCAGCACTTTCTTTTCTATCTAGCTGCCTTCGACCTTCTCTCATACGGATACTTAACTCTGATCTTCTATAATAGGAAGCCAAACCCTCTCAATACACCACTTGTGTCAGGAAGCGTTTCATTAATTTTCCTGCAGCAGCCCAACATATTTCTTTGATAACCTGGTAGGAAATTCCGTCTTTATTGCATGACTTTTCTTTTTCTTTTGTTAATCTGTAAAAGTTATCTCTTTAGTATCTTTTTATAAGTTATTTCTTAGTTATGTTTTTTCTCATGTTTTGGCTCTTTGCAAAACATTTATCTACTTTTAAAACAAAACAAATTTCTCTACATATTTACTTCATATATTGTAATAGTACTTTTAAAACTATGATTTTGATTCCATCCAAACACCCCCTTAATATCATTTTGTCTTTTTATCAATAAAACAAAGAAAATTAAAAACACTTTAAAAAATTTAGCTAGATTGATTATTTGGAAAGACAAAGCAAATTGCAAAAACCACCATCATTTTTCTTTTTCAAATTTCGATGCATTTTCGTGTATGGTGTCAGCTTACAGTTGTTGAAAGGTGGTGGAATGCATGATTGTGATCAGAGGCCAACAGCTAAAAATTAGTCCAGCCAGTAACTTGATGAAGTTTGTTTTTCAAACCCAAAATTTGAGTAACTTGTCAGTTGTCCAAATCTTTTAAGAATAAACCAATAAATTAGAGACAACTATGCTTAGAAGGTATTTAGATAAAACCAAACGATGATTTGGAAAATAGCTTTTGAGAAAAAAGTTATTTTGAAAATAGATTTTAAAAAAATAGATTTTTTAAAAAAATGATTTTAATAAAATAAGAGTGTCTGGATAATTATTATCAGAAGTATTTTTTTTAAATATAGATTACTAAAAAAGACATAAGTTAGTATGATAATTATATAAAAGATATATTTAAATTTAAATTTTTTTTGAAATAATAAATTTGCAAAAAATAGTTTTTCCAACATAATAAATCATATATGAAAAATATAATTAATTAATAATTAATGTGTACATATTTATAAAATATAAGATTAAATATGTTTATAGAAAAATGATTATCTTACCTTAAAAATTTTAAATACGAAGTCCCATAATATTTTTTGAAAATTTGAATAAACATACGTAAGGGTAATTTATTAGTTATATGATTAACGAATAATTAGTGTATATGAAATATAAAATTAAATATATTTTTTAAAAATTGATAATTTCATATCAAAATTATAAAAAGAGTATTATAAATAATTCCATTGAACCTCCCCTCCCTTTTTTTTTTCATGAGCGTCAGAATCTTGCTGTTACAGTAAAGAAAAGGGAAAATCACTAACAGGTCCCACAGAAGGCAATTTATTACTCTGAGGTCCCACGAAATGTCAAAATCACTGACAGGTCCCAAGGGACCTCAGAGTAATATTTTCGTTTTGTAAAATGACATTACTGCCCCTCATATTCCAGATTCACATTTGCTCTGTCATTACGATTTACAACTTCAGCAGCGACTATTAACAACCTAATGAGAGGGCGTTAACAACCCTAGCAGTATCCGTTAACAACTTACTTTATAGAATTATATAACCTCTACATAAGAGTAAATTATAACCAAATAATATAATACAACAACTTTAACACTAAAATGGAAAGCTTTTTGATATCATTAAGAATTTTAACTAGATCCAATAGGATTATAGTAATATTTTAATGCGAAGATCCATTTACAACCTCAACAGTGACTATTAACAACCGAATGAGAAGGCATTAACAACTTAAGCAGTATCAGTTAACAACTTACTTTATAGAATATATAACCTCCGCATAAGAGTAAATTATAACCAAATAGTATAATACAACAACTTTAATACTAAAATGGGAAGCTTTTTGATATCATTAAGAATTTTAACTAAACCCAATAGGATTATAGTAACATTTTAATGCGAAAATCCATTTACAATCTCAATGGTGAGTATTAATAACCCAAAGAGAGCTGTTGACAATCTAGGCAGTATCTATTAACAATTGACTTTATAGGATAATATAACCTCTAACAACTATATAAGATTAACTTTAAAACTATTTAGTTATAGTTTAGTTAGTTATAGTTAGAAGTTATATTATCCGATAAAGTTAGTTGTTAACAGACACTGCTAAGGTTGTTAACAATTCTCCTTAGGTTATTAATACTTACTGTTGAGATTGTAAATAGATTTTCGCATTAAAATGTTGCTATAATCCTATTGGGTTTGGTTAAAATTCTTAATGATATCAAAAAGCTTCTCATTTTAGTGTTAAAGTTGTTGTATTATACTATTTGGTTATACTTTACTCTTATGCAGAGGTTATATAATTCTATAAAGTAAGTTGTTAACGGCTACTGCTTAGGTTGTTAATGCCCTCTCATTCGGTTGTTAATAATCGCTGTTGAGATTGTAAATGGATATTCGCATTAAAATATTACTATAATCCTATTGGATCTAGTTAAAATTCTTAATGATATCAAAAAGCTTCCCATTTTAGTGTTAAAGTTGTTGTATTATATTATTTGGTTATAATTTACTCTTATGTAGAGGTTATATAATTCTATAAAGTAAGTTGTTAACGGATACTGTTAGGGTTGTTAATGCCCTCTCATTAGGTTGTTAATAGTCGCTGCTGAGGTTGTAAATCGTAATGACAGAGCAAATGTGAATCTGGAATATAAGGGGCAGTAATGTCATTTTACAAAACGAAAATATTACTCTAAGGTCCCTTGGGACCTGTCAGTGATTTTGACATTTCGTGGGACCTCAGAGTAATAAATTGCCTTCTGTGGAACCTGTTAGTGATTTTTCCTAAAGAAAAAGCATAGCACTGTACATACTAACTATATTTTCTCTCTCCAATTTGTCCCAACAGCCATGGAAAAGCGAAAATTTTCACCTCTTCTGGAACTTTGGTTTCTCAGGCTGAAATCATTGTTTTGAACCAAACCATGAATTTTCTTAAAATAAGTGGTGTTTAGATGGTTTTCAAGCCAAACTATGATTTGAGGCTCAAAATGTTTTTTTAAAGTTTGCCAAACACCTTTTTAGTTTAGAAAGCGAACAAGAATGAGAGAAAAATATGGAGGACAAAATCCTACGAGCAAAAACTTTTTTTAAAAATTAAACAGTGGCTGCATTGTACATTAAAAACATAAAATTTCTTGGAAGTCTGATAAAGTACATCACAATCAATTCTTCATATAACTTCAACTGTGTGTGTTCATATATAAATGAAAGTGATTCCGCTATGAAAATAAAACAATGCCTCTTTTTCCCATCTAATTATTGGGACCAATTGTATATAATTTCCATCAAAGAATATAGCTAACAACCGAAGGCTTTAATTTGAACAAAAATTTACAGGATTTTTTTCTTCTGTGTAATTTTTCTAAAATATATGTATAAAAAAAATAGGCTATTTCTTCTTGTGCCAAGAACATCGAGAAATTTGGATGGCATCTTCCTGCTATTGTTCTATGAGAAGACCGTATTTTGCATTTTCTTAATAATCACTATTGGGTCTCAATTTTCTCTGAAACTGTGTCGTTCTTGTTATCGTCATCGTCGTCGTCGTCATCGATGGCTAAATCTGATACCTCATTAGCTAAATTTGTTTTGTTTTCTTCATCTACTGTAACCTCTGGAATGCCGTTGTCTTCGGGTTGTTGCAGGCTCCAATACATGATGCTAGCAGTCAACATAAGTATCATCTTCGGGTTCACCTGTCAAGGTTATAAGCAAAACAAGCTTAGATCAAGCCAATTAAGTGAATCCAATGATAAGAATGTAACTAATGAAGTTTGATGTAATCAGTGCTTTTTTATCCCCAAAAAAAAAAAAAAGGGTTTGATCTAATCAAATTCATATGTTAAGCACTAAATACAAGCGGTACCAATCACAAACTTTAGTATCAAAATAGTATCCATCATGTAAAAGGAGAGTCAGTTTCAAGTATAAATACAAGGAGCTTGCCAGCTTGGTAGATAGAAATACTTCAAAACCAAAAGCCAAATATCACAAACATTAATTGGTACCAGTGGGACCAATCACAGAAGAAAAGAATGAAATGGAACTTCTATTCAATCAAGCTCACTTAAGCTATAACACTCAAACTAACAACTATTAACTGCCACGTAACACTAAAGACTGCAAACGTGACGGGATTCTCAATCTCAAGTATCATTCATCAACTGTGATAATGAATTTTTGTTATGTAAGTGCATTCTGAAATGGTGAAATTGTTGATGACGATATGAAGAAGAATCAAGAGTGAGGGTGAAAGCTGCAAGTTGCCCATGAAGAAGAGGGCTATGAGATGAAGATGGTGGGTTCTCTGTCAATGGCTGGAGGCTCTGGGCTGTGAAAGTGAAGGTTCACAGTGGTCGGTGGGGTTACGAGATGAAAGTGGTCGGCAAAATTCTGGCGCAGGACGATTACAGGTTGCTCTCTTTTTATTGGGAAAAAAAGTTGACGAGTAATTTAAATTTTAGTCTCTTGATATTATAAATGGTTAATATTGACTGTTAAAATAGTGACATTGACCATTAATATTTTTAACAGTGGGGGCAAAAATGCTACATGATTTTAAACCACTAGGACAAATTTGCACCTGAAAACTTCTGAGTGCCCAGTGCTTCGGAGTAAAAACTTTCAGAATAAATTTGCACCTTGACCCTATTATAAATGCACATAATGCACATACTCCCTCCGGTCCAAAATATAATAAGTCTTCTAAAAGAAAATTTTGGTCTAAAATACAAGAGGTTGACAGGATAATTAAACTTTTCACTTTTATCCCTTGTTATGAGGAGGAGAGGGAGTTTTAAATGCAGGAGAGATGAGAGAATCTTTCAATTACATTCTTTCATAGGGGTAAAATAGGTAACCTACATCTAATTAAAACATATTTAGTGACTTGACTAATATTTCTTGATTTGTGAAAAAGCTTAACTAACGTCTTATATTATAGACCCAAGGAAATAGATAAGATTATATAAGATTTCCTCAAATTTCACTTCCATTTTCATATTTTACTTTCCATTCCTTTCCCTCTTCCACTTCCTTCGAAACCACTTTCAGATAGCAAACAGCGCATTATAGTTTTGTTCTATTAAGCTGAGGTTTAGTATTGATGAGATTACCTCCATAATGTCCTCAGGCAACAGGAAGATGGAACATCCAAGTTTTCGAGCAACACTAATAATATATGTTGCATTCAACTTCTTATCTTCCTCTGCAGTTCAAATAACAAAACGATGAGAAAATTTGTGAAATTGTGCCCTGTGAGACATCGGACATAAAGATCAGCAGAAAAACTACAAGGTGCTATCATCAATTTATTGTAGTTCACTTACCTGTCTCCCCCTGAGTAACAAGACTCCAGTTGACCACCCTTGCTTCCACAGCGCTCAGAAGCTCAAGGAAGAAAATCCCACTGGAGAGATTCTTATCCTGATGAAGGAAAAAGGGATTAAAATCAATGTCACCGGCAAAAAGAAAATATAATTAAGATCAAGGCTCCGTTGAAATCCATATTAAGGCTACATGTGTCTCAATAATAATCCCAGTGAAAACTGCATTTATCAGGATATCTTCTCATTTAAAATTAAGTTTTCCATATATGAATAATTGGAGCCGGATTCAAGCCACAAAATTGTGCTCGAGTATGCCTTGAACAGTCTCATTCTTCTACAGCTTAAAATAACCTCTCTTTGAAGATTTCAACACAAATAAAAGGGAAAAGGAAACACAAAGCAAACAAAATACTTGATAAACAGTTTACAAAGACCAAGTTCTTGAAGTCATTTAATGATCATAGTACATTTAATCAACGTCAATCACTATTTACTATAGCCAAATTTTCCTTTATTCTGAAGTTGTGCAAAGTATAAATCTCAAGAAATTAGAGATTGCATTACCACCGACCTCCATCTAATCTAAAATTGACTAGCATATCTAATGGAAAAATTCCTCGACTGAAAATTTTTTACAAATCACAGTTCATATTGTTACCAGATAGCATGAAACTTGGACCAGGTTTAACGCAAATTTAACTACGTAATGCACAAATAATTTCCAGTTCAGAAAAATATCTATTTTAAAAAATGTACAGTTGACTTATTTTCATGGATGACCACTATGATCAATCAAGTACTGAAATTAGAATAAATTTAACAGGTAGAAAACTAGGAACTTAGTATTAAAATAATATTAATCAGAATTGCATGTTCTTAGTTACCTTGAAACTCTCCATTTGGGAAGTTCTTCCTGCTTTCTTCACTTTACTGTTTGCCCAGTTTAGAATATCAGCATCGGTTATCTCTTTACCTTGGGAGTGTGACCTCAGGTTTTTCAGAAGTTGAAGCATGCTAAACCTCATTAGTTGCCACAAATATGCTGTGCAGGAGGATAAAGAATTTGTGAAAAGTTTTACCAATATACAAAAAGTAGATTATATTTATATATAAATCAAAGTAGTAATAAAGTCAGTAACAACAACAAACAAAACCTATCCCACTCGGTGAGGCTCAACTGCACAATGTCAATGTGCTCTCTATCTACGAGCAAATCTTTAAACATATTGTTCACCAAAAGCTCTCATTCAATAACTTAGTGTTTTTTTATCTTCCTCTGCCTCTCTTTACATGACTCAAAACTGTCTATTCAGCCTCCTCACAGGTGCGCAATCAAATTCAATGGTGGAATTGAGCTCCAATTGCCTTTATATATGTCTGAACCACCTTAAATAATTTTCTACCACTTTTCCCACACCAGATGCCATGCCAACTTTTTCTCATGTGTCAATTAGGAATATATCTTTTCTTCTATAAACACACATCTGTGATCTATCTCAACATCTTCATCAACGTTATGTTCTTGTTATCCCTTTAAAATGCAACAAGAATGACTTTTTAGAATAAGAAATTTGTTGTTTAAAATAATTTATTATATTATATGCTTATTGACTTTATTTTCTTAATAATGAAGTTAATAAGAGTCTTAACACATTACTTATTTTAAATAAAGAACTATTTATTCCAAAAAGTCATTCATGACTATGAGGGAGCATTAGTCTGCAGCTTGTGTAAGTCAAGTGTAGGTAAACAGTGTTTGGTCCCTTGAGTTATGGTCAAATGGGGTCAAAGTCCTCGTAGTTTCTTCATTAAAGAACCAATCCTTGGAGTTCTGGTCAATTTTAGTCAAAATTCCTAATATAATCAAACATCATTGCTACACCACTGACATGTCATCTCCAAGGACCTTGACCAAAGTTGACCATAATTTTAAGGACTAATTTCTTAATAAAAATATAGGGATTTTGACCCATGCCGACCAAAATTCTAGGGACCAAATCTATGTTTTACCCTAAAATCTAGAAGTCACAAGACATCATTCTTCATAATCAATCTACAAAGGCTTTCTCTACTGTCTCCACTCTTCCATTTTAAAATTGAAACTTGCTCAAGTGAACAAACAGCCATGATGGCGAAACCAAAGCATCATCTTCAGTTCTATGTGAAAAATTATATATTAGCATCTAAGGACTAAGCTGCCCCCACTATTTGTTTCCTTAAAAGTTCTGTTAGATGGAGGAAATTGGTTTCTTCACTATTATATACACAATCCATCATTCCATCACTGGACTAGAGAGAAATCAAAGACATCCCCATAAAAGCATACAACCAGCCTAAACAAGGGCATAGGGCAAGCTAAACCAAACAAGCATGAAATTCAAAATAACGGATCTGTATCTGAGTACAAGTATTGTGCAGTCTCAACGCAGCAAATAGAATCACCAACCAGCGATAGGTACAAATGCAGGATTATCAACTCTACAGCTGAAGCATAAATGCCATATTCATATGCTATTTGCCAGTAATAAGAGTGGAAGAAGACATGTAAAACTGTCATCAATCGATCACTAACAAAAAACATTACAAAACCAATTTTGCCAGCAGTAAAACAGCACAACAGTTCAAAATATAAATGCTAAACTTACATATTATGAGTTTCTTATTCCCCTGAACAATATCAGTACCAGCAACATTCACTAAGGATAACTTTAGGCCCTTCCCAATCTTTATAACTTGGTTACAGTTCTCAACTTTTCGGAATGGCATTTTTATAGGAGGCTTTGTTGCCTGCTTCCAATTGACTGATCCAGGTGAAACCTTGTCAAGAACTTCTAACAAAATCCATCTACATAAAAGAAAGAAAAAATAACCAACAATGAAAATTTGAAAAATTTAAAAATGACTAGAAAAAACGAGAAAAAATATTGAAAGGAATTGGAAGAAGCAGAAGAGATACAGGAGTTAAAACATACCCATTTCTGACATCCTCAAAAACATTATTGACGTAAGTAACAGTTCCAAGACTGTTAATCCATAATCTGAAGCATCTTTCTTCACGAGACGTCTGTGCATCATCAGTCATCATCTCAGCAAAGGACACTTTATTGCTATCAACTGTAAGGCCATTCCTACAAAAGTATTTAAATAAGGGAAAGATTTTGTTTATACAATCACATGTTATGATATAAATATAAACAACCTACTACGCAACACTACACTCTGTCATATCTTGACAAATTAATCATGAAAGGTGATAATGTACAAATGATGATGTTATCATCTCACTTTCTGTTAAAGGAAGCTTAACCATGGCACCTCATAGCAACATTATGTGAATAAAAAGATTGCAAATAGCCAAAGAATCTATGGAACATAAACTTTAAAGCACTTCTACTGTAACTATAGAATACAACATAACTAGCAAGCTTTCAAAAATAAAGCATACCTATGCTGAAAAATTTGAGCAACAAATGCAAGATTAAGGTTAGGTGACCCATCCACAATGTCCTTAGGAGTGAGATATCTCTTGCAATCTAATTTCTCTGCCTGCTCGAGAACCATGTTTGCTCTTTCAGTTGGATCTTTTGTGGCCAAGGATGCTGGGCCAGAATGTTCAGGAGCAAGAGCATTAAGCAAATATGCATAAGCTTCTCCATCCTAAAAGAAACGACACCATCAGTGATCAGACATAATAGGCTCATTCAACTTACAAGTTACCATTGAATCCAATCTTTTTATTCATAACATATGATCTATATGCTTCAAAAGCTAGAAATACAACTACTGGATAGTCAGCATCTTTCATAATAACAAACTGAACAGCGAACCCTTTCCTTGACAACTACCAGAGTCTATTTACCATTTGTAAGAACTGTGCCCAAAGATATAGAACATTTGTAATGTAACATTAGCTCCATTTTTTCTCATTCATAATTTTATCTGTCACAGGGTAAAGGATTCAGTCAAATGGAATTTTGCCCGTACAACTAAGTCAGCAAAAACCTTGAAGTTTCCTCACCTTTACATCTGAAGAGAAATTTGTGACCTGCTTCTCATATCCAGCCTTCTTCAAGTGGAAATTCATCCATTTTAATAAAACCTTTTCAGGTGGTAAACCTATGAGCTCCTCAACATCCTGCCAATATATTTATAATCAGATAAAAGACAAATGTATTTGATCAACCTAAAAAGAGGTAGAAACCATCACATTGCTAAAATACAAATCAAATCAGAGGAAAAACATGAAATCAATGTATAACCTCACTGTCTTCCACTAATTCCATAAGTTGGGGAGTTTTCTTCAGATTGAGATCAGCCAACAGTTGAATCTGAAGTTGCCAGCATATGGAAAGGCAGACATAATTGTTAGTGGAAGCATTTCAAAAACTTCTGTTCTCCCTAATGAATAATGAATTCATCTACTAATCATAGCATATAGATACGAAAAGGTCCAAATTTCAGCAATCTACCTTAATTATTTGTGAAATGAGGCCAAGTACCAGATGTGGCTACAAGATAAGCAAATAGGGAAAGTTAGAACTACCACAAACATGATCAAAACAAAACGAGAGAAAAAATGGATGGAAGAAGAGAAGAAAGAAAAGAAAAGAGATATTGCTCTTACTCTAGCTTCAACTAGGTCCTGTGTCCCAATATTGACTACTGTGCACCCAATAGCCTTAGCAGAATTGAGGCAAAGAGTGTGGTTCTCATTTCTCTCCCATGGATTAAGAATCTTTTTTGTGTTAATAGCTCGCTCATCTATGGTGCCAGGAACAGCGATATTTATAAGCTTGCTGCAGGGAACAGTTAATTAACAGGATAAACATGAGCAATCAATTGCAATAAACTTGGAGAAGTGATAAAATAGCTCCTGATCATCAAGTGGGGTCCAACAGATCTACCATAGGAGAACTCCATCTTTTGCAAGATCAAATAAAGCGTTTGTTGATGGATCAATGGGAAGAAACTGCTTCATGAACTTATCTTCCGCCAAATAACTGTTAATGTGCGCAACATAAGAAGCTTTCTCAGATTCATTAATAGTATGATGGAAAGTTGTGGTTGTTGCCTTCAAAAATGAAGAAGAATTTTTGGAACTGCCAGATTTCTCCATTGCTCGGGCTTGCAAATTTAGATATGCCTGCCAGTCAATTAGTTAAGTTCTTGGTCCAATAAACATAGAATCCACAAACAAGTACCCATCATAGCATAGACATATGAACGAACACAAAATTAGGTATCCACTTCAATGTAAGCTGCATATGTTTCCAAGAGGCCATTGAGAATTGAATGGCAATTTTGTTTTTAACTAGATTTCACATTATTTTCAATTGAAAAGAGATATACATTCATCGTCAAAGGAAGAATGTGAGGAACAATAACATCTGAGAAAAGAATCCCAAAGCGTCAACTTTTTAAAAGAACGCACCCGAAGGAAGGTCTCAAAGTCAATTTCTTCATCCATGTCTTGATATGACTCCATTAAGACCCCCTTAATCTCATCCTCATTGAACAAGTCATCGAAAGCTTTTACTTTCTTAAACAGAGGTGGCAAATCTCCCACTATGACTCGTCCAGATTGAGTCTTCACAGATACAAACTACAAGCAACATAAAAAAGTAATGTCAGCTCCAAAATTCCATGCTACTGTGCAATTTTAATTTTCAAGGAAACAAAGAAACTGATGCAAAGTAAGCCAAGATAGATTTAGGTTAACCCAAAACAAAAAAGAAAAGAAAAGAAAAAGACGCTTACTTTTGATTTCAGACTTCGAAGCTGAACTTGTGTGAATTGGCTCTGAAGCCACTGATCAGAAACAAGAACGCCCACAAAACTAGACATCTTCAACTTGGTTGGAGCGAAATATCAAACACTTTAAGGAAAAATGATCGGCAGAATTCAACTACATTTTTAAACGAATAGATAATAGTCTCAGTAAGTCAATGAAATTCAATAGATCGAAAAGATGATAAACTACAACTCATATATATTCGTTTATGAACGTAAAGCAATGCGGCAAGCACATTAGACTTCCAATTGCGACAATAGATATGCATCTAACTACACTAAGCTGATCGAACAGTAGATTTGCCCAAGCCGCGATCAAGCAAACTCAATAAGAAAAAAAAATCAAAATTGAAAGAACCACAGCAAAACCCTGATGAAATACAGGCAAGAGCAAAAATTTAAATTAAAAAAAAAAAAAAAAAAGCAAAACATTTCAGCGAGGAAACGAAAAGAAGTACCTTGTGGACTCAGAAACTCAAGCAAAAACCGAAATTATTACTCGACAGTGACTTTCAGGAATTGATAGGGCAAAGAAGAGGAGAGAGAGCGGAGAGAGAGAGTATTGGGTCGGTAATAAGCCAAATGGGAAGCGAGAAAAATGTGTGGGCGATAGAAACCAGAGTTCTTCTCTGGTTGTCAAAGACGCACACGGCGTTGTAGCAGCCCGCGTTCAATTCATTGTTTGTCGTTGAGGCAACGCATATGCTTTTTCCTTCATGTTTTCTTCTCCCTTGCCTCTTTCTCATTACATTTGTTACCTAATTTTCCAGCTTTTTTCTCTGTTTCCATTTCTGAATTCTGAATTCACATTCCATTTTTACCTGTCCTTCTTTTGGAATCTTCGTGCAGAAGGAAAAAAAATCAGTCAACATGATAGGAGTCATTCTTCACAAATTCATCATTTGATATTCAAATTATAATTAAAGAAAAGCTTCCCATTCAAAGAATATTTGGTTTTTCTGGAGTATAATCAAGTATGTGGTGAAGTGATTATTTTTAAAATGAGTATTGCAAGTTGTAAAAACAATTCAAAACTACTTAGAAACGCTTCAATGTATTTAAATTTAAACGTTGAACTAATATAATCAGATAAGGTGATAATTCAAAAAAATGCATGATTAAAGAAAAAGCATGTTAATTGGCTTGTAGATCCCAATTCAAAGTTTTAAAATGAGTATTGCAAGTTAATTCAATAAAAACAATTCAAAACTATACAGAAATGAATCAAAATATTTTAGTACTACTTCTGGCCCTTAATATACGATACAATAGACTAATTTAAGATATATTAAAGAAATTACTAAACTATTTTAAAATATTTATAAATATCATTTTTTTAAAATTAATTTGACTCACTTATAAATTAATATGTAATCTAATTATACATATAAATATTTTAGAAAGATTATATAATATATGTTATAATTAAATAATTTAGTAATTTTTTTAATCTCTTCAAATTGATCAAGCATTTGTGCATTTATAACTTTACCCGCGAACACTTATAAATTTCTCCATAGGCTCTTATAATGCAAATCAGGATTTGTAATTTTCCATATTGACACAAATTACTTTATTATTAATTGTTAAAATGTGTATATATACTAATAAATTCACTTATAAAATATGAATACTTGTTATTTTGTTATTGTTAGTTGTTCAAATATAATTGTTAAAATAATTTTACTTTGTCAAAAAAAAAAGCATATATAACTTTATAAAGAAAAAATAGCAGCCAATTATTTTTGTACTTTATTCACTCTTTTTTTTTTATTATTATGTGTAATTCATATATTAACATTTTATTTGTGAGTTAATGTAATTTTTGGTCTCTCAAGTTTGCTTTTACTTTGGTTTTTGTCTCTCAAATTTCAAAATATAGATTTTAGTCCCTCAATGGGTAGAATAGTCCAATTTTTTATTAAACTATAGGGACTAATGTTTTAAATGAAAAGAAACTTAAGAAATCAAAACCTATAGTTTGAAACTTGAAAGACCAAAACAAAAATGAGGACAAACTTAAGAGACGAAAATTGTATTAACGCTTTATTTGCTTGTGAATATTGCCTTCATTATTTAAATATAACTTTTTGTAGGGTTATATATAAAATTTTGTTTATATTTTAATTAGATTATATTATTCTAAATAACTATTTGAACCTACAACCTTTGACCAATGCAATTTTCAATAAATTGTCAAATATTAATTATTAAAACAAATTACGAGAGGACCTAAATGCCAAAAAATTGGAATGTAGTGTCAAAAGCGCCTTTACGTTTTATCACTAACAAGTCTTGCCTACTCACTTGCTTTTTACCACTAAAAAGTTACTACTAAACCGTTAGGTCAACAGGTAAGAGAGTTGTTCTACTTTAATCAAAAGTCTCAAATTCAAGACTTAGTAACGCAGCAGCACAGGTGGTAAAGGTACCACCTGAAAAGGGCCCTAAGTGCTCGAATTTGAATTAATCTGGACTTATTGAGCTTCCGGTGATAAGGGACTAGCCTGGAATACCAGGTATATATGAAAAAAAAGGAAAAAAAAAAAAAAGAGTTAAAAGAGTTACAAAATGATGGGTTTGAATTGGGCCAGAATACTTGCTTAGCCCAATCTTGCAAGGTCAATAGTTAAGCCCACATATTTATAGGCTAATGGGGTAATTTAACCCCTAATTTTATTTCTCACGTACAATTTTATTTCTGATCTTTTTAGTAATATAATAATATAATTTATCCATGATCTTTTTGTGTACCCAAAGATTAAGGATAAAATTGCACTATAAAAAAATTATGGATAAAATTGCACTACTAAAAAAATCAGTGTAAAATTGCACCTGAAAAATTAGACTAGGAGTAAAATTATACTTTTACCCTATGAAATATTAATAGAGGTGATAACGATCATATTTAAGCATCTTAAAGATTAACATTTTATTATCTGATAGTACCTCAAACAGAATTGCTTCTAATACGATGATAACCGTTAATTGTCCCTAGCATAAAAAGTTAACATTTTTAAAATATGACTAAATTGCACAAAAATCTCATAAACTTTTTATCATGTATAAATAACCATTTAATCTTTATAATTTAATAATAAACTTCCATGAGCTTTCAAGTTTTTATGGATTTTCTCAACTCTTAATTATACACCCAAAAATTTATTTTTGTGTGTGAATAAAACATGTATAAAATTAATTATATGATAGTTATATGTATAAGAGTTTAGAAGGGTTCATTGTAAAGTTTTCGACCTTATGAAAATTATCTATGCATGGTCCTAAGTTCAGGAGCATAATTTAATATTAAAATATTAAAACTTCACATGTAACACGGATCAAAGAGGACAAATAAGTATATTTCAATTGGGTAATAAATTCTGAATTAAACTAGTAATAGCAAGCAAGGAACAAAAAATTGAATCAAACACTAAACTAGTCAAAGTAGTGATTCAAAGGTTAGTGAGTTACATTGAGGTCAACTCGAAATCAGATCGGTTATATTAAAATAACATAAAAATATTATTAATCATCACTAATATCAAACCGGTGATGATATGATTTAGGTAAATTTTACAAAAATATTGATATTTATTTATAAAAAGTATTTTTATAAAGGTAATATTTAAAATATTAGATTAAATAACAAATATATATTATACATCATAATATGCACTGTTATTATTTTTCATCTGCCTCTTTTTGTTTTACTATCAGCCTATCACTTCCTTGGCTCCTATTCAAATTTTCTGGCAGAAGATGCAACACCCGCAATGTCAATAGATAATGAATAAAAGCAGCATGCAATGTCCGCTGTTATTGATGCAAAACCAACCTGTTCTTTTTTTTTTTTTAGTTTTTTTCATTTTATTTGGACTCTTACTCCTTATAAGCTTACATTTGTGCTCCTCTTCCTCCATTTTTATTTTCCAGGTCTTTGTCTCTTCCTCGTGCTCATTTGTTCAGGTCTCTCTCTCTCACTTAGCTTGCAATCTTCAATCTTCCGCGGCAAATATGAAGCTCCTATTCTCACTAAAAATTTTCCCCTTTTCTTCCATACTGTGCACCCTATGGAGCTTCTTCACTTCATTTTTCATCTGTATCAGTTTATGGTAACCCCCCTCCCCCAACATTTCCTCTTCTCTTTTCCTTCCCTTCTTCCTCTCTTTTCTTCTTCTTTTTTCCAGTAAGCTTTCTTCTTCTTTCCCATAGATTTAGGCAAAGAATACAAGTGAACCAAGTAATCCGCTCCAACAGCCGGGTTACCCAAATTGATGTCGGTTCGCTTGGTTCACTCCGATTTGATCTTTTACTGGCTTTGTCACTGAACTGGACAGGGAAACTGTCCGGCTGGTTGGTTTTTGACCCAAACTGGCCAGTCCAGTTCCTTGTGTTTTTTTTAAAATTATTATGAGATAAAGTATAAGCATAAACATCAACCTTTAAGTGTTCATAAGGAATTACAGTCATTCGAACACCAAATCTTGAGTCATTCCTCTAAATATAAAAGGTGGTTTTAGGAGAGTAACCATCGTTTTGATCCAACAACGTTAAAATCTCTAATATCAAATATTGTATTCAAACAAAAACTATTGCGCATATTAGACATGAAAACTAATTTATGCATATTTTAGTCCAAAGTCGAAATTTCATGAATGAAAAAAAATTGTTAGCTCGTGTTAATCGTTAGGTTATTTGATTGTTTTTTTTTTTTAATCTTTATCATCATCGTCGTCATCATCCTTTTGCTTATGATTGGGATTTTTTTAGGATGTAGTCTACATGTATTTCCTCTTGTGGGCTCTCATTTGGGCCTCTCTTTTATGTGAGCTGGGCTCAACAAACTCTTTTTCAACCCTTGTTTCTATCGATATATTATTGTTTTGATTCAGTGAATAGGCTTTTGTCGTTTTATCTGTTGTTATCTTTTTTTTTTTCCCTGAATAAATAGGCACAAGATCTAGTGAGAGCTGGGTCTAGTAGAATGGGCTAGTCTCTCACAATTTGAATCACTGTTGGGAGAATTATCTATATTTAGTGTGTCTCAAACAGAACTGTCTCTATAATAAAAATATGTATGTCCCTACACACAGAGAGAGAGAGAGAATAGGCAAGGACTGGATAATTAGAGGAAGCCTATGAGTGAAATCTCCGAAAAGAGTGGCTCTATACTACGCATGAGGAACATTCATGATCATTGGTTCAACATCCATTAGAGAATCAGCATACTGATATACTCCTCCGGTCCTTATTATAAGACCCAATTTGACTTTTTATTTGGTCCTAATTATAAGACCCAATCCATTTTCTCTTTTATATTTATGCATTTTTTTCCAAGATAATCCTTCTAATAAT